TCTGGCACATACACACAACAGAATACTATGCAACATTAAAAAATAATGAAGAATCCACAAAACACTTCATAATATGGATGAACTTGAAGGACATTATGATGAGTAAAATAAGTCAATCAAAGAAGGACAAATATTGTATCAGTTCATTATTACAAAAAGTTAAGAAAATGTTTACATGGGGAAAGAAACATTCTTTTATAAAAGGTTACCAGGGATGGGAAGGGAGAAGAGGGAAGTTGACTGCTAGGTAAACAAAAACAAAAACAAACTCACTGCCATCCAGTCATTTTCAATTCATAGCAACCCCCATTGGGTTTCCAAGACTGTAAATCTTTACGGAGTTAGATCACCCAGTATTCCTTCTGCCGAGCAGCTGATGGGTTTGAACCACTGATTTCTGGTTATCAGTCAAGTGGCTTCTCCACTAAGCCACCAGGTAAGAGATACATATTGATTTGGGTGAAGGGAAAGGCAATATACCAAAAGTGAGTGACCAACATTGTGTTGCTAAAGTAAAGGAACACACTGACAGGTACACAAGAGGTGCAGACAACAAAGGTAAACATTATTACTTATATAATACTCCATTACCAGTAATAATAAACATTCAACTATGAGTGGATACATAAATAGACAGGCAGGATGAGCAGATATAGATAAGTGAATGGGACTATACCCATGACCATATATAGATTTGGCAGATGATATCTCTACATATATATTTGTATGTGCTATAAAAATGTCCGTATATACAAATGAGTTAACAAGGCACAAAGTTATGATAACATTTAGCCACAAACACCTTGAGGGAGTGAGTCGCTGGACTTGTGGGCTCAGGACCATGGTTGCAGGGGACGTTGAGCTCAATTGGCATCCACAGTACACAAAAACACTGTTCTACATCCTACTTTGGTGAAAGCAAGTGGGATCTTAAAAGTTTATGTGTGGCCATCTAAGATGCAAATATTAGTCTCTCTTCATTAAGAGCAAAAATGAGTGAAAAACATCAAAGACACAAAGAAACAATTATTCCAAAGGACTAATGGATCATGGTAACCTTGGCCTACATGACACAGACCATAAGAACTAGATGGTGCCTGGCTACCACTGCCAACCACTCTGAAAGGGATCGAAATTGGAGATCCTACATAGAATAGGAGAAAAATGTGAAACAGAACTCATAAAAAAGACCAGGCTCCTGGTCTGATGGAGACTAATGAAACCACCAAGACTATGGTCATTAGCCACCAGTCAGGTCTGAAATTAAACTCACTCTCATGGCTTAGCTTTTAGCTAAACAATAGACAGGCCTTGTGAGATGAAAAATTATACCAAGGAGGTAGGCACTCCTTGGAACAATCAACCTTAAGAGATCAAGAAGGTAGCATTTGCACAGGGACAAAGCTCAGATGGCAGGAATGCATAGGAAAGAAGGACACAGGGAAAAGATAACCAGAGAGAGGAAGTGGGAAAAAAGCTGTTACATTGTGGGATTGCAATCAATGTCTCTAAACAAAATGTGTATGAGCTGTTGAATTGTTGTTGTTGTTGTTATGTGCTGTTGAGTCGGCCCCGACTCATAGCGACCCCTCCTTGGGTTTCCAGGGCAGTATCAGTACTGAAGTAGGATTGCCCAATCTTCCTTCTGAGGAGTGGCTGGTGGGTTTGAACCGCCAGCCTTCTGGTTAGCAGTCAAGTGCTTTAGCCACTATGCTAGAGCTGTTGAATAGAAAATGAATTTGCTCTATAAACTTTCACCCAAGTTACAACAAGAAGTTAAAAAAAAAAAAAAAAAAAGATCTATCCTGAAGTACGTGGTCAGTGATAGGATAATAACCATATGCCTGCAAGGAAGATCAGTTAATCTATTATTCAAATTTACACACCAAGCACCAAGACAAAGAAGAAGAAATTTTTACCAATTTATGCAGTCTGAAATTGATCAAACATGCCACCAAGATGTATTGATAGTTACGGTGATTGGAATGCAAAAATTGGAAATGAATAAGGATCAGTAGTTGGAAAATATGTCCTTGGTTATAGAAAGGACACACATGAAAGATCACATGATAGAATTCTGCAAAACCAATGATGTTTTATTAGCAGTTTATATATTTTATTGCAAATACCTTTTTTTCAACAACATAAACAACAACTATACATGTGGATCTTGCCAGGAGGAATACACAGGAATCAAATTGACTACATCTGTTTGGAAAGAGTTGATGGAGAAGCTCAATGTTATTAGTCAGAATAAGGCCAGGGGCTGACTGAGGAACAAACTATCAATTGCTCCTGTGCAAGTTCAAGTTGAAGCTAAAGAAAATTAAAACAAGTCCAAGAAAGCCAAAGTACAACTTTGAGTATATCCCATTTGAATTTAGAGACCATCTCAAGAATAGATTTAATGCATTTAACATGAATGACCAAAGACCAGATGAGTTGTGGGATGACCTGAAGGACATCATACATGAAGAAAGCAAAATTTCATTAAAGAGACAGGAAAGAAAGAAAAGATTGAAATGAATATCAGAAGACAACTCTGAAACTTGGTTATGAATGGAGAGTAGCTAAAGTGAATGGAAGAAATGATGAAGCAAAAGATTTGAACAGAAGCTTTCAAAGTGAAGCTGGAGAAGACCCAGTGAAATACGATAATGAGATGTGCAAAGACCTGGAGTTAGGAAATCAAAAGAGAAGAACACACTTGGTATTTCTCAAGCTGAAAGAACTGAAGGAAAAAAAAAATAAAAGTTTCACTATTGGGGGATTCGATAGGCAAAAACTGAACAATTCAGGAACCATCAAAAAAGATGGAAGAAATACATAGAGTCACTGTACCAAAAAGCATTGGCCAATATTCAACCATTTCAGGCAGTAGCATATAATCAAGAACTGATGGTATTAAAGTCAGAAATCCAAGCTGCACTGAAGCCATTGGTGAAAACAAGGCTCCAGGAACTGACACAATATCAAGTGAGATGTAAAGAGCTCTGGTGGCATAGTGCCTAAGGCATTTGACTGCTAGCTGGAATATGCAGTTCAAACCTACCAGACACTCTGTGGAAGGAAGATGGGGCAATCAACTTCAGTAAAGATTTACTGCCTTGAAAACCCAATGGGGGTTGCTATGAGTTGGAACCAACTCGATGGCAATGAGTTTGGTTTGATTTTGTAAGTGAAATGTTTGAAGAACTTGATGCAATTCTGGGAGTGCTCACTCATTTATGCTAAGGAATTTTGAAAGCAGCTACCTAGCCAACTGACCAGGAGAAATCCATATTGGTGCTCATTACAAAGAAAGGTGATGAAACAGAATGTGGAAATTGCTGAATGATATCATTACTATCACATGCAAGTAAAATATTGTTGAAGATATTCCAAAAATTGTTGCAGCAGTACATTGAAAGGGAACTGCTAGAAATTCAACCTGGATTCAGAAGAGAACTTAGGATGAGGAATATGATTAACTGCAAATGGAGAATAATGGAAAGATGTTTACCTGTGTTTTATTGAATATGCAAAGCATTCGACTGGTGGATCATTACAAATTATAGATGACACTGCAAAGAATAGGCATTTCAAAACATTAATTGTGCTTATACAGAACCTGTGAACAGACCAAGAGGCAGTAGTTTGAACAGAACAAAGGGATAAGACATGGTTTAAAATCAGGAAAAGTGTGTATCAGGGTTGTGTCCTTTCACTATATTTATTCAATCTGTATACTGAGCAAATAATCTGAGCAACTGTACTATATGAATAAGAATGTGTGGAGGAAGTCTCTTTAAAACCTGTGATATGCAGATGAGATAATCTTGCTTACTGAAAGTGAGGATGACTTGAAGTACTTACTGATGCAGGTCAAAGACTGCAGCCTTCAGTATGATTTACACCTCAACATAAAGAAAATAAAAATCCTCACAACTTGACCAATAAGGAGTATGTAATAAATGGAGAAAAGATCAAAGTTGTCAAGGATTTCATTTTACTTACATACATACTCAGTGCTCATGTAGGAAGCAGACAAGAAATTAAACAACATTGCATTGGCCAAATCTGCTGCAAAATACTTTTTTTCAAAAAATGTTCAAAGCAAAGATGTCACTTTGAGGTGCACCTGAGTCAAGCTATGGTATTCCTAATCACTACATATTGCAAAAGCTGAAAAATAAATAAAGAAGACCAAGTAAGAGTTGATGCCTTTGAAATATGGCATTGGAAAAGAATATTGAATAAACTATGGATTGCCAGAAGATTGTACAAACCTTTCTTGAAAGAAGTACAGCCAGATGCTTTTTAGAAGCAAGCCTGGCGAGACTTCATTTCACATACTTTAGACATTTGATCAGGAGGAACCAGTCCCTGGAGGAGGACATCATGTTTGGTAAAGAAGCAGGTGAGCAGAAAAGAGGAAGACACTGAATAAAAGGGATTGACACAGTGGCTGCAACAATTGGCTAAAATATGGAACCAGCTGTGAGGATACACAGGACCAGTCAGTGTTTTGTTCTGTTGTATGAAGATTCACTATGCATCTGAACTGAATTGATTGGCACCAAACAACAACAACAAAAATTCAAACAATTTCATATAATTTGCCATTTACCCATGGAGTCATTTGCCCTTACTGGGGAAAGAAAAAGAGGAAAAGAAAGTTATGGACATTAATGTTTTAAAGTAGTTTGAAATCATTTCCTTTTTAGAGAATATAGGTAACATGTATTGTATATGTTTGTGTATATGTATGTATATAAAATATCAGAAAGAAGATATAAGAATTTCTTAACAGATGTTGTTATTGCAGAAACTGACCAGGAGGAGACTGGAAGGAGTAGAATTACATTCCACAAATAAATTTTTGTACTACTTGAACTTTTATCCTGTGCATATATTGCTTCTTAAAATAAAACAAGTATAACTTCGAGAAGAAAAATACCACACATCAAAGTTTCTATTAAGTAATCAGACATTATTGTTTCTGTTTTTTCCTGACTTAGGGGTCCAACATTACTGACACCTGTACTGAAATGCTAATGTGTGGAGTCTTACTGAAAATTTCTTCTGGAAATATTCAAGAACGAGTGTTCTTTCTTTTCGATAATCTTTTGGTGTATTGCAAAAGAAAACACAGGTAAGATGATAAATAGCTACTACTTCAGAAATTATTTATGCATATTATAGTTTCATTCTTTTTCTGTATGCTTCTGGAAATGCATTGTCTCATCAGCAAACTGTCCCATAGTCTCAACTCTTCTCTGATTGTTTTCTTCACCTAACTGAAATATGTCATCATGTGATGATACCACCTCTCTAAGGACTCTCTTTTGGAGAGGTGTTGTTTTTGTTCCTACTCCAAACACCTCCAGGCTTGTAGGAGAGGTATATGTATCTTTTTTTTTTTTTTTGTTAATGCTGCTTTCAATCCATTTCCTCCTTTTCTTTCAATATCCCAGCACACTGGAAAGTTCTTGTGGTTAGTTTTTCTTACCCACTATCCTTTCCTAGGGAGCTCTGGTAGCATAGTGGCTAAGACACTTGGCTGCTAACCAGACAGCTGGCGGTTCAAACCCACCAGCCACTCCTTGGAAGGAAGGTTGGGCAATCCTACTTCCGTAGTGATACTGCCTCGGAAACCCAAGGAGGGGTCGCTATGAGTCGGGTTTGACTCGACGGCAAACAACAACAACAAGAACAAATCCTTTCCTAGTACTCTCTTTTGCACTGCACTCAATATCTCCCATCCATGCCTGTGGCTCTCTTTTATTCCACCCTTCTCCTATTATCTTATTTGTTTATTCAAAACTCACCTGGATATTCTATCCAATATTTGTAGCCTACTTTCTCCTCACCTGAAATTTCTCCTTCATCTTACCTGCACCACCTCTCCTATGGTCATGCATTTACCTTGTCAACAGCAAATGGTTATAAAATTATTTTAAGTGTTGCACTCTGAACATCTCCTGTCCCTCTAGCTCTTCTCCTCTGGCATTCCCAGTTAAGGTATTTAACTGTTAACCTTATCAATTTTTTTGGATCCAAACATTTTCTAATACAAAGAAGATCCATTCCTAACTGTGTCATTAAGTCTTTAAGTGGAATTTGTAATTGAGTCAGAGCTGGTGCATTCAGTTTGTATTTAGCCTGGAGTGCAAGAAAAGGCTTGAGGTCTTTTCAATGATTTAAATGCTGCAAGTAAGCGAAGGTGATTGTGATGAAGAATTTGTTGCAAACAGGGGTTGGTTCATTCAGTTCAATGTGAGGGCAAATTTACATTACATTAAAGGGCAAGTAAGTCAGGTAGACCTCAGTAACTTGCACACTGCCTGTATGTATTGCCTGTTTTTTTTTTTAATGTCTTTAATCTTATGCCAACTTCTGTCCATCTCAGTGCTCTCCTTCCTTCACAGCCAATCCTCCTGAAAGCATTGTCTGTCATTGCCGTTTCTACTTGCTCACTTCTCATTCTATCCTCAAAAAAATAGAAAGAATCTACTCTATGCCACTAAGTTTAATGGAGGTCAAGGGTTTCCCAATGCTGTGGTCACTTTTCTCCTCTGTAGAGCTTTAGTTGTTTCCTTAGCAGCATTAAGCTTAGTTGAGGAGTTCTTCTTTCTCAAAACATTTTCTTCATCCTTACTGTGTAACATCAGACTCTAGGTTAGATATCGGACTGCCATGGGGCTCCAGCTTTGGCTTTCATTTTACTCTTTCTATCCATGTACTCTCCCTGGGTGATTTTATCCAATCTCAGCGTTTTCCATCCCAATACTATGAAGGCTGTTCTTAAATATTTTTCTGTATCCCCCAAATTATAGACATATAGTCTGCCTATTTGAAGTTCAGAAGTTAGAAAACTGTAGCCAAACATATTCTGGTAATGTGAAGGAGACACAGACTACTCAATTTACAAAGCAAGATTAAGGGGCCATCATTCACCTCTTAAAGTGGGTTTTCCTAGGTCATTTAACAAGATGTCCAGAACAAGTTAGCAAAGAGTTAGCAACTATGCTGATTCAATAATTCTGTCTTATGAACTACAGCAATAACATTCTATAGTAAGAGATATTAATTTGAAAACACAGTGACAGAAACTGAGAAAATATAGAACTGGATCATGTACCTTCATGGAAGGGAATAGGTTAGGATATAGCCAAAGCAGGAGCTCTGGTAGCATAGTGCCTAAGGCACTTGACTGCTAACCAGAAGGCTGGCGGTTCAAACCC